GTAAGGTAGTAAAAATGGAGCCAGTGTAAAAATGGCACCAATGGTCCCTAAGCTGGAAGCCAGTGAATGGCTGGTTGACTTTTAGAATATAGAAGAGTAGCTGTTTGGGAGTGAGAAACAGAGGAGAATGAACTTAGCGTCACACCATAATGGTGATGTGGAGACAGTGCTAGTAGCTGTGTTGTGAGTGGAGAAGCACCTAGCACACAGTACTTCACCACTCTACACAGCAGTCTTGCGTGCAGAATCTGTTTCTGAGTCTGAAACTCACAGTCACACAGTGAGTATGTTGCTAGTGTTTATATTGCAGCATATTTTATCTTTGCTCTTCCAGAGGAATGAAGTTTGTATCTTCCATGCTATTGGTCTTTTGAGGCCAAGGGCAGCTTGACCTTCAGGGCCTTCAGTGTCCGCAAGGCGCTTTCTCCACAGTCCTGGTGACTCAGATGCACACTAAGTTGCAAAAGGTGGCACGCGTTCACTTTGTGTTTCTGATTTCCAGGGCTAACGTAGCTTTAATACATCTATCAACGTACTACCTTGATTCTCTCTGTGTTTCCTATTAATTTAAGAATGGGTTAAAATCATTTTGACATTTGAGGATGAGTATGCAAGAGAAAAATATACTTCTGCTTACTTACCCTGATTTATAAATAGTGTTATTTTTCTATAAGTATAATAAATGCTTCTGCTGTAGAAATAAACTTGCCTCTGCCATCCGTGTACAAGTTTGTCACTTCAGGGACTGCTCTGTGATCTAAGGTGAGATGTTAACAAGCCTAAGAGAACCCTGTCATGAACGTGACAGGGGCCTAACACCAGGGCTAGACTTTAGAGCTACATACCTTACATACGTGATTTATTTACCCATTAAAATGACCCTTAAGCTAAGTCATGTAATCCCTATTTTAATAACATAACTGTCATATCTGTTTACTTAATACTGGAAAAATATGAAGGTATCCTAAGTACCCAAGACTGCAGGCTAAGTGTTCAATAAAAGTATGAGTATTGTGGCTCTGCCATGGGATACTCAGTAAATGTCAGTCAGCTCGCCCTTACATTCAATTTCCTCACATATCAAATGAGCATAATGAGCCAGGAGATAGCTGGATGGTCTAAGTGCCTGCCTAGTAAGAGCGAGGACCCGAGTTCAATCCCCTGCACCCCTGTACCACAGACCATGCAAGCCCCCTGCCGAGCCAGCCACTGAGACCAGGCGTGATGCCGAATGCCTGTAATCCCATCAGCTGGGAAGGCTGAGACAGAATCGCTATGAGTCCCAGCTGCACAGGGAGACCCTGTACTAGATAAATAAAAAATAAATAAATAAAAAATGAACATGATGCTAACCAACTCTCCTAGTATACCATAGTTTCTTTTATTTAAAGAAAACTTTGTAATGTGTACAAAGCATAATATGCTGCTCGAATGCAAAATGATACATGATTTCAGGTCAGATTTTAGTCTCCTGGGGAAAGCATAAGGATAGCGGATTGTTAATCTTGGGTTGTGCATACTTGAGTTCCTGGAAGAAATTTAACAAAAACAAAAAAGCCTGGTACCTTTCAGGGCTTTGATGGAAACCCTTGGGTTTCTTAATTCTCCCAGTTGAATAGGTTGAATCGCTCCACGGAGAGTTGCTGCCTTTCTTGTTAACTATTGCTGTCCACAAATATCAAACATTTAGTGGCTGGAAAACCTGCTTTGCTCATAGTTTTAGAAGAAATTAGACCAAACTTGAGTGGATAATTTTGATCTTGGCTGGTTTTCTGTGGAAGCTCCAGGTTGGGAAGCGGGTTCAACTTCCGGAAGTTGGCTGAACGTGGGGTGGATAATGGGCTGGGCTGCCGGGCCAGGCTGGGCTTGGTCTGGTACGGGTGGCAGAGGCCGAGAGAGAAAGTGGACATGCTCAGCAAACATATCTTGAGGGCTCGTCAAAGAGCAGCTGCAAAATTGCACTCCTGTGCTATATTGGCCTCAATACTAATTACAGACTAGACCAGGGGCAAAGGTAAGGATTGGGTCAGGGAGATAGCTCAGTAGAATAAGCACTTGCCTGACAAGCTCAAGGTCCTGAGTTCAATCCTTGGTACTGCCAAAAAAAAAAAAAAAAAGGGTAAGGATTAAAGTTCATTGTTTTTATTTATTTTCGGTAATAATAAATTACCAAAATTTCTTTTGTGTCTTTAGAGCAGGTTCTACAGGGTCTTACTACACAGGTGGGACTCATAGCGCTCCTTCTGCTTCCAGCCTCCCAAGAGCTGGGATTACGGGCTCATGCCACCACACCCAGTCTCACTGGCTTCTCAGCTTGTCAGGCAAGTGCTTGTGCCGCTGAGCTATACCCCTGGCCCTAAAGTTCATTCCTTAAAAGAACTGGAGTTTTGTTTTTTGGGGTTTTTTTTTGTATTTTTAGAGAAGGGTCTATAGGTTGTTCAGGGTGTCATTACTAGATCGGACTTACAGTGATTCGCCTTTTTACAGTCGCCCAAGAGCTGGGATTACGTGGGAGTGCCACCACGCCCAGTCTCAATTGCTGGCTCAGCGCATCGCGGGGGGCGGGAGGCACGGCAGGCCTAGGGATGGAACCCCCGGCCCCTGGAACTGTAGTTTTGTTTGTTTATTTATTTATTTTATCCTGTCTCAGGTTTATTTGTACAAAGAGCACAGGAGGACACCAATCCCCCACTGATTGCACCCCAGTGGTCACAGTAGTCCTTCTGTTTTTACATCAGATTAAGAGGCTTTTACTGTGGAGACTTCACGGGGGCCTGGGCACCTTTGGGGGCGCCTGGGCTGGAGCAGAAGATGGGGCCTGGGCCTTGGTTGAAGCAGAAGCTGGAGCCTGGGCCTTTGGCCGGCATGGCCTGTGACCCTTGGCAACGTGAGCACAGATATGCTCCCCAGGCTTGGGGTGGGCCATGTAGGCAAGTTGAGCAAGCTTGCGGTTTACTCCCTTTGGCATGATCTTGGGCTTGACGAGGGCCTTCATAGCCTCGGCACCTGCGCTCATGGCCTTGGCATTGTTTGGTTGCATCTTCTTGAAGCTCTTCTTGTGCTTCTTGGCAAAATGCATGTTTCTGAGGAACTTGGCATCTACCCCCTTCAGAGATTTGTATCTTTGTGACTGAGGCTTCTTGATGCCGTTTCTGTGCCATTTTCAGGACTAGCTGTACACGTGTGGGCTTGGCCATAACTGTACTGTAAACCGCAGCAACCTGTAGTTTTGTTAAAAGAAAAAAAGTAAGGGGCCGACAAGATAGCTCAGAAGATTAGCACACCTACTTAGGCGGATGCCAGCCCTAGGTTGGATCCCCAGCATGCTGTGCTGGCCCCACTCCTGGGGTGTGCTGAGAAGCCAGTGAGACTGGGTGTGGTGGCATGAGCCGGTAATCCCAACTCTTGAGAGGCTGGAAGCAGAAGGAGCGCTATGAGTCCCACCTGTATAGTGAGACCCTGTAGAACCTGCTCTAAAGACACAAAAGAAAAAAAAAAAGTATACTGGTTGGATGAGAAATTAGGCCATTTTTAAAAAATAATCAAGGATTGGCCAAATAGCTCAGCAGATTAAAGTGCCTGCAGGCAGATGCAAGGGCCAGGGGTTCAATCCCCAGTCTGCTGTGCTGGCGCCACCCCTGGGGCACACTGAGATGGTGATTGAGACTGGGCGTGGGGGCGCACTCCTGTAATTCCAGCTCCTGGGAGACTGTAAATGGGAGAATCACTGTGAATCTGATCTAGTAGTGAGACCCTGAATACCCTGTGGACCCTTCCCTAAAATACATAGAAAAAAAAAAAAAAATCAATCTACCACAGTTCCACTCTGATTGGCCTAGGATACACCTCATTTTATCAGTGGCCCTGGAACTCTGATTTAGCTTTTGTCCTAGACAAAAATGTCCTGAAGACCGAACTATCATCCTGTTTAAAAGAAATACATTCCCATCCTTTTTGCTTTTTTTTTTTTTTTTTTTGGTTTTGTTTTGTGAAGGTGCTGACTTACAAGAAAGTGCCAGGAGCTGGGGAGATGGCTCAGTGGAATGAGTGCTTCCCTGGCAAGCACAAGGGTCGGAGTTCAATCCCTGGTTCTGCAAAAACAAAAACAAAAGCAAAAACAAAAGTGCCATAAATTTGCAGAAAATCAAACTGTTGTCTCAGCCACGGAAGGTACACGTTGTAATTGAAGAGAATTTCTATTTCATATCTTTCATTTTCCATCAGAATTGTTTGTTTCATATTATTTTGTTTCATTATTCAACCTCTTCATGTTTTGTCTCCTGTCTACATATAAAGTAGATCATTGTGCTTTGAGATTTTATTTAGAGTTATTACCTGCCTTTTCCTATTTTTCCCCCTAATTTTTTTTCTTTTTTTAATGTATTAGGTACAGGGTCTCACTACGCTGTGCGGACTCATAGTGATCCTCCGGTCTCGGCCTCCCCACCCCTGGGATTAT